CTTTCTTGAGAGCGCGTCACAAATTTATCATTAATTTTCATCAGAGTATATAAGCTGTGAATAAATAATTTTTTTTCTTCAAGGATAGAATAATTAAATTCCTTTTTAATTCTTTTATTTTAATTTAAATTTAATCATCATCATCAATCATTATCATCAATTATCAACATCATCATCATCATAATTATTTTCATCAATCATCATCATCATCATAATTATTTTCATCAATCATCATCATCATCATAATTATTTTCATCAATCATCATCATCATCATTATAATTATTTTCATCGTCATCAACATCATCATCATCATTATAATTATTTTCATCGTCATGAGCATCATTATCATCATTACAACTATTTTCATCGTCATCAACATCATCATCATCGTAATTATTTTCATCATCTTCATCATCATCATCGTAATTATTTTTATCATCTTCATCTTCATTTTTAACATCAGAATCACTGATACTCATATTTATATTTGAAAAAAAATCATTTGCACTCTTACTTACACACGTTTCACTTTTTGGACTTATTGAATTTTTAAGAAATTATGGTCCTGTTTATAATTAAAATTCTCCAAAAATTTGATCATTTTTATTAAGGGGGGCGCCTACTTTATCGGGTCAAAAAAATCGATTTTTTAAAAGTTGTCTTAACTGAAAGTACAACTATAAGAGAATATGCTCTTAAAATATTACGTCAAAATACAAAGTATTTTTCGAGTTACAGCTTGTAGAACGCAATAAAGCGCGTGGACTGGCGCTTGGCCTGGCGCGCGATTCCACTCGCGGTCTCTAATACTTTTCATAATTTGTCGCGCTTATCTACTATTACACCTACCATTAAAAATACCATTTATCAGTAAAATCTCTTCTTATCCAAGAGCTACACATAAAAAAATAGTCGTTCATCGAGGCCGCGAAATAGCATTTATATATGTTTTTCAATCTTTAAACGCGTTTTTCTCAAAACACTGTTTTTGTAGTTTGCGTACACGATAGACAAAAATCTAATCAACCGATAAGGGTCTATTTGGGCTTGTTTTGAAGATGAAGAGTGTCTCTTCTGTATGAATTAAATTTGTTTTTGATAGAGTTAAATTTAATGCTTTCTTTTAAAGAAAAAATGAGATTTTTTTTGGCAAAAATTAAATTTTTTTTTAAAGTCATGTAAAAATTTCAGTTTTTACTTTCTATTGAAATCTTTTAATTCATACAGAAGGCAATAATGTATATTTATAGAAAAAATTTTGTTTTTTTGTTTTAGATAAGAATTGTGGGCCCTAGGTTGTACGCAATGGGAAAATTTTAGCAGCGAGGCGTTATATATATGGCGTTTATTTTATTATTAAATTCTATTTTCATTTAATGAAAAAATTATATTTCAAAGGTTTAAATATATAAGAAAACATACACTAAATCTCGCATCGATTTATTTAAATGTGTTTGAGAAAAAAATTCCTGAAATGCACGCAGTTTTTTACCTTCTAAAGTAGGCGCCCCCTTAATATTTTTTAATAAAAATTCTATTATTTTTAAAAGATTTTACAAAATTTTAATTGTTTTCTTTAAAAGAGTTTTTGTATAATTAAAAAAAACTAATTAATTTTTTGATGAATGTCAATTAAAATTTTGAGTATAAATGTTTTTTCCAAAATGTTAATTCTAAATTTTTGTATGAATTTAGATTTTTAGAAATATGAATTGAAAATACTGAAAATATTGAATTTTAAAAAATTAGAAGCTAATTTTCAATAATTTTCATTTTTAAAGTGGCCTTTAAAGACTTTTTATTCTTTAAAAATTAATTTTTAAAAATTAAAACAAAATACTTAAAAGAAATTAATTATTTTTCAAATAAATTTTACAAAATATCAACTATTTAAAAAGATGTTTATTACACATACATTTCAAAAATTAAATTATGTCTTAAGAAATGATTCAAAAACAATTTTTTAATAATTTGTTTATAGTTACTTTTTGCATTATAAAAATCAAAATAACTTGCACTTTTTTACTAAAAATTGTGGTAGGTATTTTGATGTTTGAAGTTTGAATAAAAAGACAAAAAAGTGGCAATTTTTTAAAGAAAGTCGAAAAAAGTCTCAATTTTCTTAATTTCCCTGAAAATTTTTTTTATGACATTTCCCTGTCTATGGTGTTAATATACAGTGGGGCAAAAAAGCCATACTAACGGTTTTTTACTCTTGTGACTAAATGAATCAACCGATTTCATTTTTCGATGTGTTGTTTGAAAGATCATTTAATTGTGCAACTTTTTCCCAGAGACACCTATACTTTATCTTTCATTGTTTAGTTGCTGCGTTAACTTTAAAAAATTTTGCTAACTGACCGGTTTGACCCACCCCTTGGGGTAAACCGACCAGTTAGGATTTTTATCTGTAATATTGCATTTGTATAATCTACTATAACAACAAATATAAAGAATCATGTGAACAATGGTTGTTATAATGTTAATAATAATACAGGATTGGATTTTAATTAAATAAATAATTTTTTTAATAACAAACAAAAATGTTTCAAATTATCAGGGAAACAATATTTAAGGGTCTGATTCTCATTGGGAGCGTTCACAAATGATGTCATGTTTTTGGGAGTAGGGGGGGGGTCTCTACTAAATGTGACACAATGTATTTTTACATGTGAAATTGCGTGACAGGGGGAGGGGTGGTCTATAATCCCGGAAAATTGCGTGACATCATTTATGAACGCTTCCATTGGAAGACAATTATTTTTCATTGAATGTAAATATTTTAATGAAAAAAACATTCTAATTAATAATAACTAGCGACACACACCTCGCTCGCTAACGCTCGCTCGGTTGGCATCTTATTTATTTCTCCTTACATATATATTTATTATTACACATTATTATTATAATATTTGAAATTTTATTATTTATTGAATAGCATCTTCATTGTTAATATATACAAATAAGTAGTATATGTACATATTAATATTAATTTTGTATATAATTGCATATTATTAAATTAATAATTGAGTTCTTTTGATGAATTTTAATCAAATTTTTAAGAATAATTTCATTATTACATTTTTCGAGGAAATTGATTAAAATTGAATTAAAAATAATTGAAATTCTGCAATGAGTTTTATTATTTATAAAAATAATTGAATTATTGGGAGGATTTTATAAAAAAAGTTTTAAATAATTGATTTTTTAATAACAATTTAGATAAATTCTATTTTTAATATTTCAATTCTTATGAAAATTTAATTCTTTTAGAAAATAATTGAATATTCTTGTAGAATTTTGTCAAAATGTTTTTAAATAATTAAATTCTTTTTGGAAATTTAATTAAAATATAATAGAAATACAAATTATTGAATTAAGAAAATTTTGTGAAAATAATCGAATTCTTGTGTTGGACATAATTTAATTCTTGTTATTTATAGAAATAATGGAACTTTTACAATGAATTTTGTCGAAGAATTTTCATATCAATTATAAAGATAATTAAAATGGTGAGTTTTTTTTAGATTTTTTTTAAATAATAGAATTTCTGTAAAGAATTTTATTACTTATGAAAATCATTCAATTGTTTTTTTTAATTTCATGGAAATTTATAAAAATAATTGAATTTTTGTGAAGAATATTTTTTAAAAATAATATTTAAAAGAATGTAGTAAATTTGAAGAATTTTGCTATTTATTGAAATAATTTAATTCTTGAGAAGAGTTTTTTTACACTTTCTATAAATAATGAAATTCTTTCGACGAATTTTAATAAAATTAATTATATATTTGATTTGATATAATTTTGAAAACTTAAGATATATATGTTCGTAAACAATAGATATTTCTATTATAATCGAAAAAATAAAAATAATATATGACTAATAGTATAATACATAGTTTCAGCTTCGCGGTTAGTGAAGGAACCTACTATAGAATTGATAATTGTTTCGTGAAAAATTCTGGGAAAATTTAAAATTTATAATACATAGTATAATACATATATTATTATTAATTCAATAATGAAATTTAATAATTTGTGTGTTATTCGTGTATATATGTGATTATATATGTGTGTGATTCTTTGTGTTTACAGTGGGTATCCATATAATATGTGTGAATATACAAGTGTATGGGATTTATTTATATGTGAGTATACATGTGTATCTGATTGTACATATCTAAAAATAATAGTAATTATTAACTTTGAATTATTATTATTATTAATATTAGAAAATATTATTTTTTGAGTGAAGAAAGGTTGCTGCATAATATTATTTTTTTTAAATAATTAAATTTTATAAAGAATTTTATTACAAATTTTGATAATAATTAAATGTCTGTGGAAAATTTTATTAAATTTTTTTTGAAAATAATTGAATTCTTGCAAACGATTTTATTAAAATTTTTTAAATAATGAAATTGCGAAGAAAACTTTTATTACTTCTAAAAGTAATTGAATTTCAAATACTTTTTAAAAATAAAAATAATAATATAAACTAAATTTCTTTCAACATAATTTCCATGTATAACATTTTATCAATTTTTTTAATTTTAAAAAGTTATGAATTAGATTCTATATTTTTTAATAAATTAAATTATAGTTTTCAAATTTATAAATAATTATTATAATGATCCAAAATTGTTAATATTTTATTTAAATTTTGTATATTGTTTATTTTATTAAAATATTTTATATTATAATATAACATAATAATTAAAACCTAATTGAAATTTAGTTTATAAGGAATGTAAATTAATAATTTAATTAAATTTAAAATTGATTATTTATTTATATTTTAATATTAATTAATGTTTCAATAATATTATTATTTAGTTACATTAAAATATTATAATTAGAATTTTTTTTAATTGAAATATTGTTTGAATGTAGAAGAAGAAATTACTCATTAATAATGATAATAATAATAATAAGCTTTTGATTTTATATAAATAGAAACTTTTCATTATTAGTCAGTTCTTGCTTACCATTCGAACTGTTCAATACAATGGCTCCAAGGAAAAGAAGATCAGAAGAAATTGTTGATGAAAATAAAATTAAAATAAGAAAATTGGATACAATTACATTTCGAGACATGGAATCGAATATTAAAAAGTAAGTTTAAATAAAATTCTTCTCAGTAATTCAATTATTTTTTGCTAAAAATGTAATTCTTTTTAAAAAATTGAAATTAAATTATTTGTAAAATTCCAATTATTTCCAAAAGTTTTTCATAATTCAACGATTTTCAATATTTACTATTTTCATAAAATTTTTCAATAAAATTAATTATTGGAAAAAATGTTTGATAAAATTTTACGAAAACATTTAATTATTTTTATAAATAATAAAATTTTATTTAGAAATCAAATTATTTACACGGTAGGATTTTAAATATTTTTAATATAATTTTAAATAAATTCTTTGAAAAATGTAGTAATTTATAAAATTTTATTTAAAAATTGACGAAAGAATTTAAATTTAAGAAACGTTCAATTATTCAATAAAATAATAAAATTCGTTTGCCGCAATGATAACTTCTAAAAAATTCAATTATTATTAAGAAATTTCAACTGAAATTATTTTTTAATATATTTATATTAGAAAATTCAACAGGAATTCAAATATTTAAATACAAATATAAGAATTTTATTGAATAAAAGAATGTTTCTTAAATCCATGATTTTTCTCAGATCAATTCTACTTTCCTTAATTTTTGTAAAAATTCTATAACGAATTAAAAGAAATTATTATTTTATTTTTAAGTTAAAAAATAATTTTTTTTTAGTTGGAAGCTCAATGTTCGCATTATCCACAAAAGCGAAGTAAAAAATTATCCAAATTGTAAATTATTTACAATGGATTTATTGGATTCAACAGCCCAGTTTAAATGCACTGTGTTTAATTCGAATGTGGCCAAATTTTATGATTTGTTAAATGTAAGGTTTTTTATTTATTATTATTATAATTATTTTTTTAGTATTATTTTGGTTATTATAATTATTATTTTAATTACATTATTTAATTATATCTTTTGTAAAATAGGTTGGTGAACAATATTTAATTGCTAATTTTTCGATAACTACACCGAATCCGAAGTTTAATGTTTATAATAATATTATTGAAATCCAATTAAATCAGGATACTGTAATAGAAAATGTAGACGAAGATGAAGGAAATTCACAAATTCCTACATCTTGTTATAATTTTAAAACGTTGGAAGAAATAAAACTTCTAGAGAAAGGAAAATTTACTGGTAAGAAATATAAATTGAAATTTATGTATGTTTGATATAAACCTAATTTATATATAATCTTATAATATGAATAATGTTAATAATTTAGATTTATGCGGAATTGTCAATAATGTGGGAGATGAGGAAGAAGTAGTTGACAAGAATGGTAAACCTCTTTTTAAGAAAAAAACGTTCACCATCAATGATATGGACAACAATAAGGTTTGTATTCATTTAATTTAATTTAATTTTTAAAATAAATAAATGAAGTTAATAATAATAATAAATATTAATTAAATTTAAATTTAATATTATTAATGTTTTTTATATAAAATATTTAATGAATTAATTAATTATTATGATATTGTTATAGATTGATATATCCTTGTGGAATGACAATATTTCAAAATTGTCAGTAAAGATAAATGATATTTTTATCATAAAATGTGGAAAAGTCCAGAAGTTTGATTCAAAAACATATATTTCAGTTGTTAAGGACACACAAATTAAAATCAACGATTTAACAATTCCTGAAGCTAGTAGGTAAATTATATATTATATTCTTATTCTAATAATATACATATACAGGGTTGCCGTAGGTCAGGAAAATCAGGGAATTAATTAATTATTTCACAACTTTTAATTAAATTATCTTGATAAATAACAAGATTCTTCACAAAGATTCAATTATTTATTGGAATTTTAAAAAATTTCTTTGTAAAATTCAATTATTTTTATAAATAACATTCATTACAAGAATTCAATTATTTTCAAAAGTAATGGAATTCTTCTAAGAAATTCAATTCTAGTCGAAAATTTAACTATCTTAATAAATAATTCAAAATTTTTTTATAAATTCAATTATTTTTAAAGCAGTTTAATACAATTCTTCAAGAAATTTAATTTTTTTCATAAATAATAAAATTCTTCTCATGAATTAATAAAATAAATTTAAATTATTCAATTTATCAAAAAAATTTATTATTGACAAAAATTTTGATAAAATTCTACGAAAACATTCAATTACTTTTAAAGAAAAAATTAAATCCAGTTATTTTCACGGCAGGATTTTAAATATTTTTAATACAATTGTAGATAAATTCTTCGAAAAATGCAGTAATTTTAAAAAATTTAATTAAAACTTGACGAAAGAATTTAAATTTAAAAAAAGTTCAATTATTCAACAAAATAATAAAATTCGTTGCAATGATTCAATTATTTTCAAAAATTTTTTAAGTAATTCTGCAAAAGAATTCAATTATCTTGTTAAACAACAAAATTCTCCTCATAAAATTAATTATTTTGAGAAATTTTAGAAAAATTCTTTTTCAAAATTCAATTATTTTATAAATTACGTAAGACACTTTTTTTTGGAAAATTTGATCACCCACCCCCCTTTGTAACATTTTTTACATACATTGGCTCCATTTTTTCTACGGTTCGTAAGATTTAGCAGACTCATCTCTTTTCCCAAAATGTCTTATGTAATTTATGAACGACCCCTAAGTAGCGAAATTCTTCTCAAGAATTAAATTATTGTTAGAATTTTTAATATACTTCTTATCAAAATTTCAACTATTTAAACAAAATTTAATAAAATTCTTCGCATAAATTCAATTATTATTTAAATTTTTCTTAGGAATTTAATTATTTTTAAAAATTGTTATAAAATTCAATTGTTGAATAAATTATTTATTTTTGTATTTAAATAATTGAATTTTCGTAGATTTAAAAAAAAATTGATTTAAAAATGAATTTTGGTTTAAATTTTAGATAATAATTTAATATTAAAAGCATTATAGCATGGATTTGTAGAAAGGATTGAATTTTGTAACCGTTTAAATTAAATCTTTGGAAATTTTAATTTTTCGTTCTTTTAAATTTTAAATAATAATTGATTAAAAGAAGAATTTTTCTTAAAAATTCTAGAAAATAATAATTGAATTTAAATGATGAAAATAATTTTAGAGTGATTGATTTCTTCATAATAATTTAATATTCTTTTAAGTTATTAAATTTTAAAAAATTTGAATTTATAAATTTTTGAAATTCTTAATTTTAATGGAAAAATAATAATGATTAAATTAAATAATTATGATAAATAAAACAATTGTTTTCAAATAATTTTACAATTAAAGAAATTCGCAAAAATTCGAAAATTTTTTTGAGCTTCTAATCATTTTTAGAGTGAATTAGATATCAGAATACCTATTCCTTAGTGTCAGGGAAAAAGTCAAACTTCTGTCTACAAATCAGGGAAAAACAAAGTAAAATTTTTGTGGTAACCCTGATATATGAAGGTGTTAAAACTGTTCGGGGTACGTAATTAACATATAAAAATCACTTTACAAAATTATCAGTTATTTGAAATTTATTATTTTTTTGTTTACAAATTTTCATTCAATGTGAAAAAAATTCTTAAAAATTATAGTACGATGCAAGCCTTTATGTGAAATATTAAATTTAAATTAAAATAATAATAGATTTCGAAAAATTTTGAAATACTTATAATTCTGTTAAGTGATTTTTATGGGATAATCAGAAACCTCATTTGTTTTATGATTCTTATTCAATTATAAATAATAAAAAAAAATTATCATATAATATTATTTTGTATTAAAGTATTGGAACAAATTATAAATTTGTTTCGAATTTCTAATTTTTTTTACAATATTTTTTAAAAACTAATATTATTATTTTTTACAGTTTGGATGCCTACTTGAAGAAGAATCAAGTTAAGAATTAAGTACACGGAGAAATAAATTTTACAACGTTCAAAGAAATATTTGTAAAAAATTAGTAAAATTTACTTTGAATATAGCTAAATTTACTCTGAAAGTAATAGAAGTTACAAGAAAAGCGTTTTGTTATAAAAATAGTAAAAGTTACTTTATATTATAAAAGTTAGCTATCTAGCTGTATTGGTTTTTTTTTGCAATTTTACTTCACAGTTAGAAGTTTTGTCAAAAAGTAAAAAAAATGAAATATGAAAAACTTTTCTAAAAATTAAACAAATTCGTTTGGCTCTCCTCAATGGGAAATTGCCAATGTTTACCATTGGCTAAATAATGGACCAATATTGACTGTCAACAGTTTTTTCTTAGTCAAACATTGGCAACCAATATCGGGCTATTATTGACAGAGTCTTGGAATGATCACGACTTTGCCAAGCATTGGCAGCCAATATTGGATCACTATTGGCTAATTAATTGGTCATTAATATTTGTCTAATCTTTGTTGCCAATGAATATTCAAGGTTTGGAAAGTCCAGAATTTGTCTGGGCAGCCAATAGTGATCCAATATTGGCTGCCAATGCTTGGCAAAGTCGTGATCATCCGAAGACTCTGGCAATAGTGGCCCAATATTGGTTGCTATTATTGCACCATCATTGGTACTGCTGGCTCCCAATATTGGACTATTATTGCGTCAATGGTTAATTTCCCATTGGGTCGTTACTTTAAGGTTTTTGAGGTTGCTCATTACATAAATAATTCGTTAATATTTTACAATGTTAGACAAATTATTTTTTTTTATTTATATAGCTTTTTAATATTGACGAATTATTTAAGTAATAGTTTTTTTGTTGACCTGATAAAATGTTAATGAATGTAGTAAATTATATGTTCTAATATATTTTAGTAATTTAAATTAAGAATAATACTTAATTATTATTTATATAATTTGATTTTCGTATTAGTAGATATATGTATTATGTTTTCAAAGAAAACAAATCAAGAAACATAGTTTCTTAGTCAGTAGCAATTTTGTAACTAAAACTGAATATATATATATATTTAATTTTGTCTACTAAAATTGTATTTTTATTTTTAAAACTAATAGTTTATTACTACTTATTTTAAATTGCAAATCATAAAGTGAAAGAAATTAAAATATATTATAATTATATTATATTTTTAACTAAACCAATCTACACATTCACATCAAAAAGTAAGTGTAATTTAGTTTAATTTTTTTATGGTAAAGTATAATAATATACTACTATCCAGAATTTACTGGACACTCTTTATTTCATTAAATTGTAAAATTATAATTATCTATAATAATTATAAAAAATAGTTAGGATATAGTTTTTCTAAAACGTATTTTCTAAAATTTTTTCTAATAAAGGTGAATCTCTAAAAAAATTTTTTCTAATGAAAGTAATTTTCTAATTTTCTTTCTTCTAATAAAGGTCATATTATTCTAAAAGTTTCTTTTTCTAATAAAGATTAAATTTTCAAAAATTAAATTTATGAAAATTCTGTAATTCTTTAAAATATATTTGAGATTTTGTTAAAAATTTTTACAAAAATAGAAATTATGCAAATTTTTAAACAATGTAGTTAAAAATTGTATTTAACAAACAGAAATTATATGGATTTTTATTTCTAAAGATATTTAAAATTTTATAAAAAAATGTTTTATAAATGTTTTTAATTTTAAATCTTTACAAAATTAAATTATTTTTCAAAATTGTAATTATTAGTAATATCTAAAAAATTCAATTATTATCAAAATCTTCAACTGAAATTAATCTTTAATGCATAATTCTAATATTTTACAATGTTTGCTGAATTATTTTTTTTTATTTATATTGCTTTTTAATATTGAATAATTATTTATAATAGTTGTTTTGTTGTCCTGATCAAATATCAATAAATGTAGTAAATTATATGTTGTATTATATTTTGGTAATTTAAGTTAAGATTAATATTTTTCTAACTATATTATTTAATTTTTGTATTAGTAGATATATTTTGTTTTGAAAGAAAACAAATCATTCATAGTTCATTAGTCAGTAGCAATTTTGTAGTTGACACTGAATATATATATTTAATTTTGTCCACTAAAATTGTATTTTTATTTTTAAAGTAATAGTGTATTACTATTTTTTTTAATTATAAATCATAAAGTGAAAGAAATTAAAATATATAATAATTACATTTTTAACTAAACCAATTTACATATTCACGTTAAAAAGTAAGTGTAATTTAGTTTAATTTTTTTATGGTTAAGTATAATAATACACTAATATCTAGAATTTACTAAACATTCTTTATTTCATTAAATTGTAAAATTATAATTTTCGATAATAATTATAAAAATGGTTGGGATACAGTTTTTCCAAAATGTATTTTCTAATTTTTTATTTTCTACAATTTTTTTTCTAATAAAGGTGAATGTCTAAAAAACTTTTTTCTAATAAAAGTGATTTTCTAATATTCTTTCTTCTAATAAAGGTTATATTATTCTTAAAGTTTCTTCTTGTAATAAAGGTTTCATTTTCAAATTTTTGTTTCTAACAATATTCAACTTTTGGAATAACGATCAATAGATATATGATTAAAAAATAAAATTTATGAAAATTCTTTAATTTATTAAAATATATTTGATATTTCGTTAAAAGATTGTACAAAAATAAAAATTATGCAAATTTTTTAACAAAATGTTTAAACAATGTAGTTAAAAATTGTATTTAAAAAAGAGATATTATAAAGATTTTTCTTTCTAAAGATATTTAAAATTGTATAAAAAAATATTTTATAATTATATGTGACGTTCCACGAGAAAAGGGACCTTATTTACTCTTGTCATAAGGTCCCTTTTCTCGTGGAACGTCACATATTGATTATGGAAATTTTGTTATAAAAATGGTGAAAATTATTATTTTTTTTCAAAGAAGAACAGAATTATGTTTAAAGAATTAAATAAGAAATAGAAATTTTTTTCTTCTTCTTCAAAAAGAAACTCATAATTTAGTGATCAGATTTGTGATTGAGAGGTAGGAAATATGCAAAATAGTCTCTATTTCCTAATCTCAATTTTTAACCAATTTTCTAACTTTTATCGAAATTATTTAATTTTACAAATTTCAAGAAAATAAATATTAAAAATCATAACTTTTTAGAAAAACTTTTTTTAGAAAGTAGATTATATTACAAATCGCTTTTTTTAGAAAAAAAATATTAGAAAATATTTTTTAGAAAAAGTGACCACCTACTATAGAAATTATTATTATGAACAAAATAAAAATTTGATTTTATAATCAAATAATTGCCACAAACAATAATTTTTCACTTCCTTCACTTTTCACATTTGCTCATAATTTAATATACAGGTATTCTAGACAAAAATGTGTCCATATAATCTTCTTTTGGAAAATTGAAAATCGTCACAAACGTAAAACTTGTTCATAAGGAGGCAGCAAAATTGAAACAATATTCAAAAATTTCAATTAAGTTTTTGAAAAAATTTAGATATATAAAATTTTTAATTTAAAGTATGGAAGGTTAAAAGTTTTAAAGTTTTAAATTTTAAATCTTTACAAAATTAAATTATTTTTAAAAACTGAGGCCTTGGATCTAATAACTCGCCCGACGCTCGGAGAAACGCGCAACTGGCAGTCAGTGAGCAGTGAGCTTCACAGGAAATGAAAAGTGTTGTTTTAACCTGAATTTGTTGCGTGTTATTTTAACCCGAATTTAGGTTAAAACAACACTTTTCATTTCCTGTGTTCTCTGGGTCATTCACTGCTACTCGACTGGTATTAGTGCGTGTCTTCGAGCGTCGGGCAAGTTATTGGATCCAAGGCTTCAATTGTAATTACACGGAGAGAAAATATATATTAAATTTTGTAAAAATATTTTCAAATTGGGGAAAAAGTGCGACAAAGCGAAATTTTGATATAAAAAATACTAAACTTTAAAAAAATTTATGCGAAATTTAGTATAATTATATCAAATATCAAGAATATTAATTAAATTCTAATATAACTTTAATAAATTTCACAAAATTTTTTTTAAAGTTTAGTATTTTCTATATCAACATTTCGCTTTGTTGCACTTTTTCTTCAATTTCTAAAATACTTTTACGAAATTTAATATATGAAGGACTACATAAAATAAAATAAAATAAAATAAAATAAAAAATAAATAAAATAAAATAAAATCAGTTATCATTAAAATCAGTTTATCATAAATAAAATCAGTCTGCTACCCGACTGATAGTATCCCTTCCAAGTCTCTCGTTCGTCCCCTTATTTTATGTAGACCTTCATATATTCTCTCTCTGTGTATTAATAATTATTCAAAAATTTAATTATTATCAAAAACTTCAACTGAAATTAATCTTTATATCAATTTTTAAAAGAAAATTTTAAAAGAATTTAATTATTTAAATACAAATATAGATAATTTATTGAATATGTGCATAATTTTAATATTTTACAATGTTTGATGAATTATTTTTTTTATTTATATTGTTTTTTAATATTGACGAATTATTTAGGTAATAGTTTTTTTTGGTGACCTGATCAAATATTAATGAATGCAGTAAATTATATGTTCCATTATATTTTGGTAATTTAAGTTAAGAATAATACTTTACTAACTATATTATTTAATTTTTGTATTAGTAGAGTGGTCTTCTTGAATTTAATATATAAAATAAATTTTTAATTTTGACGTGCAAGTTTTACGTGTGCTGCATTGTGCACGTTTTTTGAAATTTTTTGAAAAAATTAAAATTTTTCAAAATCCATACATTGATTATTTATTATTATTTATTATTAATAAATGTTGCCTTTTTTCTTACTTTAAAGTATATTCAGAATCACTTTAAAAAAGATTAAATACTCAAAAAAAATCTATTAGGTACCTACATTTATTTAATAATCTTTTTAATTAGAAAATTATTCGAAAATATCACAAACACAACAAGTTGTTCATTTTATGATTATTTACGTTCTTCAATATAA